TGCCAGCAATCTCCCAACCAAGGATGGGGGCTGCATGCACTGCCAGAGGAATAGGCTGGCTGCTCCTAACAGCGTGAAGAACACATTAGAAATTGTAGCTGGACTCCTTGTCCAGCAGTCCTACAGTCAGATTTCCTGCAAATATGCTAAGATGATAATTATGGAAGTAATGCATTTTTACAACTAATTTTCCAGGTGCCTAAAACACTGGATTGTATCTTCTCCAAACAATTTTCATGTAATTAAAATCTAAAATTGTTCAAAACACAAAGCATCAACTGAGCTGCTCAAACATGTATGTTGGCAGATACATGTACACGTACACATTTCTGCCTATCCACTTGGTAGCTACAGGTAATCGTGAGCTAAGACATTCCTACTCTGAAGTGGAGAAGCTTTTCTAATGAATGTGATCTTAATTCTGACCAGCAGCATGGCAAGTTTACCTGGATTTGTTTCACCAAGAGGAATACAGCCTGGTTTGGGCTGTATTCTTCAGACTGCTACTGGAGGATGTGATAAGTGGGCAGCACAAGTGGGCTCCTTATGTGGAGCCTGGCCAAGGGCTCTGAAATCCACTTCTCATTGTTTGGCACAGAGGGGAGGACTTCACTCTTGCTGCTGATCACACATCAGCTTGTCTTCTCTCTGTCCTTACAGCACCTCTTGGGGGGCAGATGATGCAGTGGTCACCCTCACGAAGAGCTCCTCCAGCTGAGATATGGCAGATGGCTCCTACTTCACTGTAAAACCTCTAGAGCTGCAAGCTCACAGTCCTTCATGTTCATCATTGTATCTGCTCCTTGTCCTCTGCCTCAGCAGGAGTGAGGGGGCTGTCCTATACACCCCAATGTCAAGGCTGTTTTTCAGGTCACTTAGTCAGGAATCCTCTGCATGGTCACGTTAGCCAGCTGTACTCCTGCAGCACCATCTGGACACCAGTGGCCAGGCTTCGGTGGCCAAAGCTGTGTGGCATCCCTGACCCCTGGGCCTCATCTGGAGCATGACATCCCCTCAAGAGATTCTGTCCCCTCAAGCACTGTGCCACAGGAGGCAGAACCTCGCGTGATGACCACATGTCTGGTGGCTGCCCCTCTGCAGCATGCTGCTGGCTGTCCTTCCCTGGCTGCGCCCAGATCTCACCTGTGTATCTTAATTCTCATCTGTTTTCGCATAAGATACGTTTTAGCCCTGCAGCATTGTGCTGCTATGACAACAGGCTTGCACTTCTGCTGCTTTCACACCCTTGTTTTTCTTGTATTAGGACTCTTCCCCTCATCTTACAGCCTTGCTCTGAAGACATGACTTCATCCTTTAATTTTTGTAGCAGAATTCATTATTTGTTCTGCTGGCAATTCCTTTAGAAGCGCCGTTAGCGCGGGAGCTATGCAGAGAAGGTGGAGACTACTTATCCATTGCTAGATCTGCAGCTGGCTGTCTGCATCCAAGCATTCAGAAGTAGCGAAGTTTTGAAATGCAGGGTCGGGTGCTTACGCTAGTCAGAGCTGCACCAGACCCAGCCCTCAGTTCTGCTACAGCCAGCACTGAAACAATAGCTTCAGCATGCCATGTTGGTACAGCAAAACAATTAGAGATAACACAAACATGGGAACACAAACATAGCTGTTTCCTCCACGAGTTTCCTCACACATAGAAAATAAATGGGGAAATCCGGGCAGACTGTGGACAGAGTGTGCAGGCACACATGGGCACAGACACAGCAATTAAGGGGCAGAGGGAGGAAAAGAAATCCAAACAAGCATGAGGTCTGCAAAAATTTAGAGTTCAACTGTCTTGTTTTGCAACAATCACAAGTTATGTAGCACTTAAATAAATGTGTCCTTATACGTGAATATCTAATTTCGGTATTTGCTTGTATGTGCCAATAGGTATTGAACCAGCTAACTATACGCCCTGATGGCCAGTTCATAGGAAAGAGGCAATGCACAACCAGAGTCTGAAACTCTGTAGTCGGGACATTTTTCTTTAAGAAATAAACTTTTATCTACAGATTTTCATATAGGCAAACTGTAAATACAATCCCTTTCAGTATGAAATGTCACATTTCATTCCCTTTTCATCTGTAAATCTTAAGTAGAGTTACTGGCAAAAAAAAAAAAAAAAAAAGTACTGTGTTAATGTAATGAACAGTAATAAAAGTGGAAGACAGGATATTCTTCTGAAAAAAAAAAAAAAAGGAAGCTTTCATAAGAAAACTAAATTAGATTGTAGAATAATGCAGTTAACTCACTGTAAATATGGAGGAATGAAGAGGCTCAAAATGATGAGTGTCTCAAATCCTGGCTTAGTCAGGATGTACTTTCAAGGGTTCAAAACACCTGGTTAGGTCGTTTCCTGTGAGCCTGCATATCCTGAACCTGCCAAGTTTCTAGCTGCAAGTCGAAGTAAGGCAATGACCTGGTAGGGGGCTGCTCTTACACTCTTTTCAGGCTGGATTCTAGGCTTAGATGAGTTGTACAGAAATTATACAATCTTCTGAACTTCTGCAGGATGGTGCTCACCAAAAATCCAAATTATTTTTGTTTCTCCAAATGTTTCTTGGAAATACACGGATAAGTGCAGATCTTCAGTTGGGTGTCAGTCCTTCCTATCTTTCTTTCTTTTGACAGAATGGAATCTTGAGGAAGAGAGAGGCCCTACACATTGACAGCCAGTGCCTTGTGCCCAGCTGTCATCACTTCCCTCCAGTATCTCTCAGCTTCAGGATCATCTCTTGCCCACCAAGACTCTCCAGAGGCTTCAGTTGGATTAGTTCAAGGCCAGAGAATCAGGACAGGTTTAGGTTTCTCCCCGTCTCTCTTCTACAGATGACCACACCACCTGGAAACGTGATGGATGGCAGGCGCAAAAACAGTTCAAGCATTTATGGGGAGAGTTATGGGAATTACGGATGGACATTTACCCAATTTAATCAAAGCTATTACAAGAAGGCAGTCACATGCTTCCCTGATAATGAGAGCAGAGTCTTGCACAGAGCAGCTAGCACACCCAACAAGGCCAACTGGCACACATAGGCTGTCAGCTCCTGTTTGGGGCACGTGCCTGGGGTTTGGGCACGGGGCTGGTCCCTTCACCACCACTGCCAGCCAGCCAGCAGGGAGCTGCGTAGCTGTGGCACCTGGAGCTACTTGGGCTGACAGCGCGCCTGTCAGAACTGCACTGCGCTAACCACAGCACTTCAGAGAAGCCACCGAAGAACTTACCACAATAATGAATGAATTAATTAGGATATTATAGTGACTAACTTTTGACAGTACCACTAAGTTTCAGCTGTTCAGACCCCAAAACTTCATATCCCTTTACCAAGGGGATGATAATGGAAGCTCACTTCTTCCTCTGCCGCAGACAGAGAACATCTCTTTCCCTTCTGTGAGACCAGGGCAGCAGTAGCAGCACTGGGCACTCCCTGCCTGGCAAGGTAGAGGACAGCAAGTCAGGGAGCCCAGAAAAGCTCTTTCTTGGGGAGGCAATGCTCCCCCAGGAAAGAGGAGGTGAGCAGTGTAATACCACTCACAGGTGGGATGACACTGATGCGCAGCATCTAGAGGTGCATGGCTTTGCCCTGGGGCCTGAGGGAATTTTTTAGATGGTTTTGCTCCTTTCTGCCCTCCACGTACGGATACGTGTGTAGGAGAACCTTGATGGCCCCCTCTCTCTCTGCCTCCTCCTCTTGGTGAGCCCTGCTGACACAGAACGATATGGCCCTGCGTCGCAGCCTGCATGGTGACACGGGGAGCCAGGAGCTCTCCTTCCCAGGTGGCTGTGCTGACCTGCTGGGCACCTCAGGCTGCACAGACACAGCTAGGACAAGGGATGGGATCTTTTCTGCAGAAGGCAGGCTGGGATTAATTAGATAAGTAAGGAGTTGGAAATAATGCATCAAAGATGCCTGACAACGTCAGATTAACGGTATGAGTAAACAGGCAAATGGCAATGGTGTTCATTATCTCACCGAATAAGAAATAATCATTCTGTTGGCAAATTCTGTCTGTTAAAAAATGAGGCAGCGTTAAATGCTGACAACTTTCTAAGTTATGGCTCTTTGGCTGATATGATAAATCTGACGCAGAAGTTTGCTCGTGGAGAGCTTCAGCATTTATTTGTGTGTCACTGTGCTATCGATAGAACCACAGATCTCCAGAGAAAGCAGCAGCGCAGAGAAAAAAAATCCATTGCCATCATTACCCTATGACTGAGTAAGTGTGTGCGCTGGATGCGGATGCAATCCACGGCACAAGGAAATGAAGGAATGAAAACCGCCTCTGGAGTTTTCTCGCTCGGCGGTGACATACATCTCTGTGCCTGCGCTCGGCAGCGCGGTGTGCCCAGCACTGCTGGGCAATACAGAGAAAATGGGATACGGAGCACACGGAGGGGCACTGCACTACAGCTCTTTGCATGGCTACACTATAACAGTTATTGCCGTGCTTAGCGAGGGGCGCATCTCCCCGAAGTGCCTACACGCGCTATCTGCGCCCATGTTCTCGCTAGGGAAGGGGCACTCCCCGGAGCCGCCGAACAGATTTTACGCTGGTTCTGCGCGGTGTGACAGCCCGACACAAGCGGTGCCGAGCCCCCGGGCTTTCCATACACCAGAGCGGACGTGGGGCTGAGCCTGCCACACCTCTGAGCTATGCGCACCATCCGAGCCCTGCCCGGTGAGCTCGACCCTCCCGGCACACGCTCGCTCCCGTCCTCCCCGCTCCGACACCGCGGCGCAGCGCTCCGGCACACGCTGCGGGGAACGTCCCGCTCCGCGCCGCGGGCAGAGAGATGCTGTCAGCGCTGCCGGCTGCGCTCGCTGTGGGAGACGGCTCGGTGCTGCCCTTCGCCGTGCTCCCAGCCGCTCGCGGAGTTTCCCGAGCCGCCCCAACTCGGATAAAACACGCGCGAGCGCAGGGAAGGAGCGCGGGGCCGGCGGTGCGGTGCCCCCTGCGCGCTTCCCAACTGTTGCGGGAGGCGGCGGGGGCCGCGGTTACCTTGAGGATGAGATCGGTGTGGTGCTGGTCCAGCATGTTGGCCTTGCGGAAGGAGGTGATGATCACCCGGCCGTAGCGCCCCGGCGTCTGCAGGTCGGAGTAGAGCCGGTGCTTGGAGCGGTTCACCGGGAAGAGGCTGTCCACCAGGTTCCGCTCGATCTTGGCCAGGCTGTGGGTGGGGGCCAGGAGGTGCTCCACGCTCTCCTCCACCTGGTAGCGGCTGAAGCTGGCGCCCAGCAGGATGGAGATGAGCACGGGCGCCGAAGCGAAGAACACCGGGTGGCTGGCGACGAAGTGGCCGAGCCGGGAGAAGGACGTCCCCAGCCCCCTGTGCAAGACCTGCCGCAACATCCTAGTGCGGAGGGCGCGCAGGAGGGCGAGCGCCGCGCCGGGGCCCCCGCGGCTCCCCCACGGCCCCCGCAAGACCATGGGGCGGCCCCGCCGGGCGCCGCCTCCCCGCCGGCCGCGGCTGCGGGGGGCCGGGGGCCGCCGCCGCGCGTCTGCGTGCGGCCGTGCGGGGCGCGCC